AGAATGAAGAAGGATATAGAGGGTTTGTAGCTTGGTGCCTAAACTGTTAGCGGGTGAAGTGCGAATATCAGAGACCGTGGATTACTTTAGAGGCTTGAGATTCCAGAGTGGAAATGGGAGTGTATCACCATGGATTTTGTAGTTGGGCTCCCACGGGATTTGAGGAAGTTCGATGCTATTTGGGTGATTGTGGATCGACTGACCAAGTCCACACACTTCATTCCAATTGGGACTAATTATTCTTCATAGCGGTTTGTTGAGATTTACATACGCGAGATTGTTCGCCTTCACGGTGTGCCAGTGTCTATCATTTCATATCGAGGCATGCCGTTTACGTTGCAGTTTTGGAGAGCCGTGCAGCGAGAGTTGGGCACCCAGGTTGAGTTAAGTATAGCATTTCACCCTCAAACGGACAAATAGTCCAAGCGCATTATTCAGATATTGGAGGATATGCTATGCGCTTGTTTCATAGATTTTAGGGGGCTCTTGGGATTAGTTTTGCCGTTCGCGGAGATTGCCCACAACTACAGTTACAAGTCGAGCATTCAGATGGCTCCATATGAGGCTTTGTATGGGAGATGGTGTCGATCTCCGGTGGGTTGGTTTGAGTCGGGTGAGGCTAGGCTATTAGGCACTGACTTGGTTCAGGATGCTTTGGACAAGGTTAAATTGATTCATGATCGGATTCGCACGGCGCAATCTAGACAGAAGAGCTACGCCGATTGGAAGGTTCGTGATGTTGCTTACATGGTTGGGGAGAAGGTACTTCTCAAGGTTTCACCCATGAATGGAATCATGAGGTTCGGAAAGAAGGGCAAGTTGAGCCCTTGGTATATTGGGTCGTTTGAGGTACTTCAGAGGATTGGAGAGGTGGTTTACAAGCTTGCCTTGCCACCTAGTCTATCGAGTGTTCATTCAGTGTTTCATTTATCTATGCTCTGGAAGTATGTCGACGATCCGTCTCATGTTTTGGAATTCAACACAGTTCAGTTGGATGGTGATTTGACTTATGACATGGAGATGGTGGTCATTTTGGGTCGGCAGGTGCGAAAGTTGATGTCAAAGGATATAGCTTTAGTGAAGGTGCAGTAGAGAGGTCAGCCAATTGATGAGGCTACTAGGGAGACCGAGCGGGAGATGCAAAGCGGATATCCATGCTTATTTGAGACTCTAGGTATGTTTCTAGAGCCGTTCGAGGATGAACGATGTTTAAGAGGGGGAGAATGTATCGACCCGGCCGGTCGTTATGAAAGATGTAGCCTCATTCCCCCATTTACTGCTCATTCCGTGCTTAATTGTTGTCATGTGACTTGTCGGGGTAGTTGGTTCGGGTCCGGAGAGGTTTCGGAATGAGTTGAGACACTTAGTCTCAAGGTTGGAATATTAAGTTGAAAGGGTTGACCGAATGTTGACTTACGTGTAAACGATTCTGGAATAGAGTTTTGATGGTTCAGTTAGCCCCGTTGAGTGATTTTTGACTTAGGAGTGTGTCCGGATTGTGATTTGGAGGTCCATGGCTGAATTGGGCTTGAAATGGCGAAAGTGGAATTTAGAAGTTTGACCGAGAGTGGATTTTGTGGTTACCGGACTCGGATTGAGGTTCCGAGAGTGGGAGTAGGTCAGTTGTGTCATTTGTGACTTGTGTGCAAAATTTGAGGTCAATCGGACGTGATTTGAAAGGCTTCGGCTTCGAATATGGAAATTAGAAGTTCAAGAGTTCATTAGGCTTGAATCGATGCGTGATTCGTGGTTTTAGCGTTGTTCGGTGTGTTTTGAAGGCTTGATTAAGTTTGTATAATATTTTAGGACTTATTGGTATATTTGGTTGAGGTCCCGGGGGCCTCGGGTGGGATTCAGATGGTTAACGGAACGAGTTTGGAACTTAAGGAATTACTGAAGTGCACCAGGTCTGGTGCGACCACACATGCAGAGTTTTGGTCGCAGGTGCATGGCCGCAAAAGCGAAGGATTTATCGCAGGTACGAAGCTGGGCAGTGGCTGCAGGTGTGAGGGAAATGCCTCATCTGCGAGCCCGCAGATGCGCGTGTGGCTCCGCAGAAGCGGAGAGTGAGCTGGAAGGGGAGTTCGCAGAAGCGAACATCATTAGCGCAGGAGCGCACCCGCAGATGCGGAACCTTGGACACAGGTGCGCGAGGTCGGGAGTGGGGTGTTTTATGCAAAAGTGGATTAGTGATCGCAAAAACGGTACTGCAGAAGCTGATTTTTGGACCGTAGAAGCGGAATAACTGGGTAATGTTTAAACCCGAAGGGTTTCGTGATTTTCTTCATTTGGACATTTCAAGCTCGGGCTTAGGCCATTTTTGAGAGGATTTTCGAGGGGTTTCTTGAGGTAAGTCACCTCTGATTAAATTTATTCAATAATTATGTTTCTCCATTAAATTTTCCACCTAGATTGTGTGGTTTTGAGGTGTAATTTTGGGAGTTTGAGGCTAAGTATTTGGAGAGTTTAAATTGGGGATTTGGATATCGATTTGGTTTTGGATTTCGGTAAATTTGGTATGGTTGGACTCATGATTGAATGGGCTTTCGAATTTTGTGGCTTTTATGGGATTCCGAGATGTGGGCCCAGGGGGGCAAACTTTGAGTTGACTTTTTGACTTTGATTAAGAACTTAGCATTTTCTTATGGAATTGATTCCTTTAGCTGGTGTTGATTGTATCGAACTGTTTGTGGCTAGATTCAAGGCATTCGGAGGACGTTTCGCAAGGCAAGGACTTGTTGGAGTAGGGATTTGCACAACTTGAGGTAAGTAATATTTCTAAACTTGGTTATGAGGGTATGAAACCCCAATTTTCATGTTATGTGATTGGTGTTGAGGTGATTCATGTGCTAGGTGACGGGTATGTAGGCGTGCACCGTATGAAGTGTGGATTGGTCGATTCTATAGAACTGAATAGTTGATAAAGCTTGCTGTTACCCGTATTTTCACCATGTGTTGGAGCTATTGAGATGCAAATCATGTTAGAAACCCTGCTTAGGCTATGTGTTGGTACAATTGGGACCCACAGTGGTCGTTCTTTGTTGTTGAACTAATTGCTTAATCTGTCAATTTGTATTCAGTCATAGTTATTACTTGTATATATATCTCAGTCTCTGTTGTCTCTACTTGATACATCATATAATCATTGTTTGGGCTAATTAACATGATTCTGGTGAGCCCGAGAGACTGGAGAGATTATTGTCTGAGTGAGGCTGAGGGCTTATTTTGAGTGGTATTCATGGGATTGGGCTGCACGTCGCAGTAGGTTTATTGATTTATGCAAGGATTTGGCTAATTATAGTTCATGAGCTGGATCGGTCCCTCTAGAGTCTGCACATCCACAGTGAATGCATTGCTAGAAATTATTTGCATTTGGTCTGGATCTGCCCTAGTTTATTAGCATTTGGGCTGGATCTGCCCTGTTTTGTGTTAAGTTTTCCTGTAAAAATCTGAAAGCATGTCTAAATTCTAGTATCTTACTTGTATACTATGAATTTCAGAGATATCACTGTCATATTTTCTGTAACTTTTCGTCCTGTTAAATGTTGGAAGTGGACCGTAATAATTGAGCTCGTCACTACTTTCAGTCCAAAGATTAGATTTGTTACTTATTGAGTTAGTTGTACTCACGCTACACCGTGAACATCGTGTGCAAATCCAGGTACTTCCGATCACGGGGGTTGCTGATTTGCAGAGTCCAGACCTTCGGAGGTCATTGAGGTAGCTGTTTGGCGTCCGCAGACCTTGACTCTCCTCCTTTATCTTTCAGTTTGTCATTCAGTTTTACTTTCTAGATAGTGTACCAGACTATTTCTTTATGTAGATGCTCATCTACTTCGTGACACCCCGATTTTGGGAAGAATTTATGCATTGTGTTATGATTTCCTATCCTGTTTTTAAGAGATTTTTCCTTTATTTAAACTATTTAGTATTTTTCAAAGATTTCAAGTGTCGGAAATATCTGAGTAATCAGTCTGCCTAGTACTATGACATGCGCCATCACGACGAGTTGCTTTTGGGTCGTGGCACCAACAAAGAGCGATTCAATATAACGAGAAGAAAGAGACTTTCCACTACCGATCAGGGACACATGTCTTTCACAAAAGACAAAGAAGTAAAGAAGAAAAAGGGACCACAAAAAAAAATCTTTGATTTTGCATTACCAAGTATAAATAATACCAACAGTAACTATTGAGAAATGGGCCCTTAAACTGGTGGTGCCTTAAGCATTTGCCTTAGTAGTTTGTGCATTGAGCCGGCTCTTAGGAGGAAGACATCATGAGTTTGAAGAATATATATGGAGAACCCGCGGATCACTCATATAAGAAGAAAAAATAATGCAAGCATTAGCTCTATGGATTACTAATACCTTGTTTGGTATATTTTTTCAATTTGTGTATAACAAATTCTTGTATTAGTTATACATCATACTTGGTATTATTCTATGTATAAGTAATGCATAGAAAATCATGGCATTAGTAATACCAAGGCTAATAATGCATGCATTAGTATGGTTAAAGACAAAATTGTTCTTAAAGCCCCTCAAAGCTAGAGAATATGGAGGGCATTTTTGTAAACAATTATTTTTCTTATAAATTATGCAATGCATTATAATTTTAATATACCACACCAAACAATAAATACACCTTATCCGCATTATTCTTATACACCCTACCAAAAGACCTCTAAATGTATTCAATAAAAATTGAAGAGATGATTGAAATAAATATAGTCGTTAAAATGGGTCTTCCATAAAGGCATAATACTTCTACAGTGCGTATATATATAGGAGCATGCTAGCACTTATTATGCTGCGTCTCCTATTAAATGCATATTGTTCTTTGAGAGAACACCTCATTATTTATTATGACTACCTCGATATTCTTTGATCGTCTATCCCAATTCCGGTGTTATTGTCCCTTAGCTTCCCGAATGTTTAATAATCATCCACTCATGTTATCACACCAGTAAACAACAGGCAAAGAGAGGGAGAGAAAAAGAGGAGCAATAAAGTATTGGTACTAATACAAATAAAAAGGATTAACATTAGAGGTGGTTTCTTGATTATATCTACAACAAGAGATAGCTAATCATGAAATACATGCATCAGCGCATCAACTACAAGGTTGCCATGAAATTAAAAGCACATTAATTAAGGAAACCAAAAATTAAAAATGGAGGAACAATCCATCCATCAACCTAATCCTGCTATTTTTTTGGTCAAATCAAAGCCAGAGAGCGCCGGCTTCCTTGAGAAGTGGGACAAGAGTGCCATTAATATGAGAAGCCATAACTCTATCCATTGCTCCAATTAGTTTTCCACCAATGAAGACAACAGGGACTGCAGGAGCGTTGCCTAAAAGCCTAGAGAGTGCTCTCTCCATTTCTTTGCCTTTGGGGTCTTGGTCCAATTCGTACACCGTAGGGTGCACTCCCATTCCACAAAACAGCCTCTTCACTGCATGACACATGCAACATGTGCTCATGCTGAATATCACCACCGCGCTTCCTGACGCCAGCCTCACAACCCTCTCCAACGGGTCTGACGACGATGACGATCCACGCCTTGTTGCTATGTTGTTGTGGTAATTTCCAGCCCAAGATGACTCTGCTGCTTGATACATTGTAGCTAATATTGAAGAATAAGATGAATGAAAAAAATAAAAAGAGAGCAAGAAACCGAGTTGAAAAAGAAGTGAGAGTGTCCGAGGAATGTTTGGTGTTGGAATGATGAAAAGAAGTTAAAGTGTGAGGGGTATATATAGGTGTGGAGGGAGGGTTCTTTCATGAATAAGGGGGTATTTGTCGGTTATTGTCGCCAACGCGTGCGTGGGAAATATTGGAACTTAGGTAATATTGAATTAAATGTTTCTTTAAATAAAGGACTGCGAACATTAAAGTTGAGATGTAAGCACTTGTAATTCTCTTAAAGAAATTATGAGAAATTAAGGTTGGAGGCAAAGGTGTCAGCAGATGGAGGCGGCTATGGTGTTTATATCTAAAATAAAATCCAGAGAGTACGTTGCAATAGGCCCAAAAAAATGGAAAGTCTTTACTCTCAAGTAGTTAAGTGTGGGTTATACTACATTACTCATGGAGACAAAGAGGACAGGCTTTTCAGGGAAATCCAAGTAGAGTTGGATACTTACTACTATTTAGGATAATAGTAAACGGCTGCTTGCGTCCTTGTTGTCGGGCAAGACATTAAATTTTAGTGGAGATAAAAGAGTTAATTTAATTTTGATGCCTGCGCATGTTGCTACTTGTTGTAATTGCTAATTAATTTATTACGTCGACCGGTTTTGGTTCTATACTCTTTAGTGCAAGTTCCGACATGTATCGCAGGTTGGTTGATCAACGGTCTTTAGATTTTGTTAGTTACTGTTGACCCAACCACCGAAAGTATTTTCCTTTGCTCGCTTCACGATGCATTGCCATGCAATTCCATGATCATAAGTATGTTCTTGGTCGGAATTCCACTCTAAGACCAATTTCCAATGGGACTGATTATTTAGTCTGAAAAAGGAAGAAAAAAGTTTGAATACCCCTTCGGAAGTTGAAAACAATTAGAACCAGTACATGTTATAGAGTTTGGAAGTCACATATTGTAGAGAGATTAAAGGAAAACATTACAAAGAATTTAGAAAAGAAAAAAATAATGGAGTAACTTTATAGGGAAAGGTAAAAGGAAAAAGAAAGCTCTACATTAGAGAAAACAAGAAAGGAGGTTTACATCATCAATGTTAAGTACGTACATGATGCAGGTTGGGTGTCAACTTTGACCTGGAAACTAATGTGTAATCCTTATAAAAGTTAAATATGTAAAATAATATTGTATACGGGTAAAATAGGGGCTAATGAGCGCACTCCGATTTTTCGAAGGGGTAAATGAAGCAAGAACTTAACTACATGGAATCGGAGCTAGGAACCCCTCGTACTAGGGACCTAGTGAAGCAGTGACTACCGGAGCCATCGATACGACACCCCTCCCCCCCTCCCCCCCCCCCCAATCCGGTTCGGACTCCAAGACCTCAGAAAGCATTACTCAACGGTTGCACACGGCTAACAAAGGGCCGTGATATCCGCGCTCGACCGGATATCGCAGCGTGGATCTCGGCCCGTATCGGCAGCAGGTTAGTGATTAGCGGAAAGAAAGATTTTTACCTTTCTTAGAATTGTACTTAGAGTAAAAGTCCTCTGCTATATAAACGGGATGTTTATTATTCAATAAACACACTCACATATCAAGGCAATATATATTTGTTTTCTCTTCTTCTAAAAGTTATTCGAAGTTCTTATTTTTGCTCATAGTTCATCGTAAGTATTTGGCTTCGAACCGAGGCAGCACAATCATTGAGCTCAGACCCGAGCTCGGACCTAACATTACAACTGGTTTGGTCATTTATTCTGCCTTCGATTCACTTATTTAACGTCATTGATCACTTGTATTGAATTAGTTCACATATCCTTAAAATTGCGTACAAATTCAATTGTTATCCATTTTTAAGGGTAAACAGTTTGGCGCCCATTGTGGGGCTAAGGATAATAGTGGTGGTTTGATACAAATGTCCATACACACTCTATTTTACGCTTGTTCTTTGAGATTTTAATTTCAGGCCAGCCTAAAAATATCAAACTCTCAGTCTGCTCACTTGAACATTGATGTTGAGTCTGGCCATCATGGCGAAAACAACAATGTGGTGCGTATCAACGAGGCGCCCTCTGCTGATCCTATCAGAGTCCTTGTTGCAGGCCCAGTCGATTCCAACTCGCACATGGCCATCGACACCAATTCGCCGACTGACCCTAAGCACAACGTTCGTGGAGAAGCCCGACTAACGGCTCAAGGTACGCCCGGTGAAGGCAACAGGGTCAACCTGTGGGTGACCTTCGAAATGTTAGGCCTAACAGGCAGCGATAACACAACTGCAGAATCAAAGTCGCAGCAGGGTTGAGCCCAAACCATCCCAGGAAAATACCTAAAGAAATGAGCAGGTCACAAAAAGAGCGGATGTAGCTAAGCCCGAGACCAACCCCGAAATAATGAGAATGCTCAAGGATAACAAAACAGGTGGAGTAAGGGCATAAGAAAATTGAGGCCAACGACAAAGAATTGGAGACCTATAACTCTAGGGTCGACCAAATCCCGGGAGCGCCGTCGATATTGAAATGCTTGGACTCCACGAAATTGTCCAGAAGCGTTTTCCTCCGAGTGCAACACCGAAGCCATTCTTGAAGAAGTTTTGTATGCCCGATATTCCAAAATATAACGGAACCACGGATCCAAATGGGCACGTGACCTCCTACACATGTGCCATCAAAGGGAGCGACTTGGAAGATGACGAAATCGAGTCAGTCTCGCTAAAGAAGTTCGGAGAAACTCTGTCAAAAGGAGCAATGATATGGTATCACAACTTACCCCCAAATTCTATTGATTCGCTTGCTATGCTTGCAGATGCTTTTGTGAAAGCGCACGCCGAGGCCATCAAGGTTGAGACCAGAAAATCAGACATTTTCAAGGTAAAGCAAAGAGACAACGAAATGCTTTGGGAGTTAGTATCAAGGTTTTAAATGGAACGGATGGACTTGCCTCCGGTTGCGGATGATTGGGATGTTCAGGCATTCACTCAATGACTTAACCCCTAATACTCCTTCGCTTCACAGCAGTTAAAGCAAAATTTGGTAGAGTACCCGGCTGTAACTTGGGGTGACGTCCATAATAGGTACCAATCAAAAATCAGGGTCGAGAACGATCAGCTCGGGGCCCCTTCTGGGTCCATTTATCCTATCAGAGCCAGTGATCGGTCTAGGAAAGTCGTCGACCATGAGCCGAGATCAAGCAAAGATCGGTACCAACTGTATAGCGGAGATTTGAGGGGTAACGTATTCGGGCATCACCCTATGAGGAATGAGAAACGGAACGATCGAGGCCATAGTAGCCGGGGACTCGTGAGCAAAAAATGGTTTTGATAGGCCACTCAGTGCCAGGGAAGCACCAATGTATCAGAATATAACTTCAATATCGATGCTGCCAGTGTCGTATCTGCCATCGTGCGCATCAAGGATACCAAGTGTCCTAGACCGTTGCAGTCTGACCCTACCAAAAGAGACCATAACTTGATGTAAGTATCATGGCAATCATGGCCATAGGATCGAGGATTGTCGACAATTAAGAGAAGAAGTGGTTCGATTATTCAATAACAGGCATTTCCGGGAATTTGTGAGTCATCGAGCAAAAAATCACATCAGGAACAGGGTTTCCAACAAACAGACAAAAAAAGAAGAACCTCAGCACATCATTAACATGATTATTGGAGGGATCGATGCCCCACAGGGACCAATGCTAAAGCGCACTAAAGTGTCCATCACAAGGAAAAAACGAACACGAGATTATATCACGGAGTGAACCATTTCGTTCAACGTGTGTTGATTGATCCAGGTAGCTCGGCAACATCATTATATCGAGGGTCGTAGAGCAGTTAGGTCTACAAGACCAAATAATGCGAGAAGTCTGGGTGTTGAACGGATTTAACATGGCATTTGAAACCACTAAAGGGAAAATAACCCTACCTGTGAACACTGCCGGGACCGTTCGGGAAACAAAAATCTATGTGATCGAATGCGATATGAGATATAATGCTCTATTCGGAAGATCATGGGTTCACAACATGAGGGCAGTACCTTCGACCTTACACTAGACATTAAAGTTCCCTACATTGGGAGGGATCAAGACAGTGTACTGAGAGCAGCCGGCTACAACGGAGATGTTCGCAGTCGATGAAGTACTTCCCGTACTTGCCGTTTTGACATTAAAAAGTACGAAGCCGGCCAGAAAGGCCGAAGTTAAATAGCGATCACCGATGATGGTCCCGATCGGACCGGAGGGACGAGGAGTCACTGAGGAAGATGATTACGGAGTTCCTAGATCGTTCGTAGCTCCTGATGATACCGACACCACCAAATCGATAGTTGAGGAGCTGGAGCAAGTTATATTGACCAAACATCTGCCGGATCGAAAGGTATACTTGGGCACGGGGTTAACCCCCGAGCTCAGGAAAGAACTCATTAGTTTCCTTAAAACTAACATATCTTGTTTCGCCTGGTCACATCTTGATATGACAGGGATCCTACCGGAGATAAACACTCATAAATTGAGTTTGGATCCGATGTTACACCCGGCAAGCAGAAGGGAGACCTCGGTTCGAAGTCAAGCATGCATTCATAAAAGATGATGTATCTAAACTCCTTAAAATACGTTCCATTTGGGAAGTTAAATACCCAAACTAGTTAGCTAACATAGTGGTAGTGCCTAAAAAGGGAAATAAATTAATAATGTGTGTAGATTACATAGACTAGAACAAGGAGTGCCCTAAGGATGCTTTTCCTTTGCCTAACATCAATCGCATGATCGGTGCGATGGCCCGGCACGAGATACTCAACTTTCTCGACGCCTATTCCGGGTACTACCAAATCCATATGGATTCGGGCGACCAAGAAAAAACTTTCTTTATCACTAAATTCGGCACCTATTGTTATAAAGAAATAAGTTTCGAGGCTGAAGTGAGAGTATGAATATTTCAAGGTAGGACAAAATTCTGGGAAGGAACTTCAGAACAATTATGAAGATTTGAAGTTCACAGATGAAGATATGAATGTTTGAAAGAGTTGGTAATAGCTAGATAATTCGGAGGTGGTAGCTTGATCGAAACTTGATA